ATTTCCAAGAACGATTACATTCTTTCATTATTTGTAAAAATAATGATGTGTTTGATGTATAATATTACATAGGTACATACCTTTATATATAAATAATTAAAATTTTGTTTTTTTTAAACCCTCTCTATTACGAAAACTCTCTATAACGAAAGAAATCTCTTGGTCCCTTCAGATTCGTTATAAAGAGTTTTGACTGTATATTGCACTTTGCTATCATTCAACAATATCACTACTTAAATTCAAGATTTAATTAGACCGTCCCATGAAATTGAGAGTTATTAAAAATTATTAATTATTATTTAATTTACCTTAATTTTCGGATTTCTTCAACTTCTAAACCATTATTAAGTTCTCTTTTTTCATCAGCAGGTGAACCAGCCTTTTCATAAGCTTGCCAAACATTCCAACGTATATCTCTGTCTGGACAATACTCAATGAATCTATCCGCAGTACCCCATGTCAAGGCAACTTTCCACGGACGTTTCTTAGGATTATCTCTGCAAAATTAGCATGAATAATATATTTTTTTTAATAACAAGATTAAATAATATAACATCTTACTTATTTAGTGCCATTAATGTCAAAAGGTCTTCTGGAAAATCTTTGACTAGTTGTGGATTATCTATTATTTGTTGAAACTGACTCCAAGCCATCTAAATAGTAAATATACAATATTCATTTGGATACACAATTTGGAAGTTATTACAGGTTTTTAATCCTACCAAAAATAATATTCACCTGCCACTAATTTACTCTTACAATATTCAGAACATTTATCATTATGGTTTAAATAAACACATTGTTTTGTGAGACTTAACATCAAAAAGCTTACTTACATAAAAATACATTTATTTAAGACTACAATGACCAATTTTAATCCAATTAAGATTGAAATGAAATGAAATACCAAAGTATTATAAAATGTCAAAATCATTATATTATAAAAATTACTGCCTACAGGTGAATATATTAGTTAAATTGCAACAATCAAATCAGTACCAAACATTATAAATGGGTAATAAATAAATCTTACTTCTAAACGAATTTTAAAATATTTTTGCTTGGCGCTGCATTTTTGTTTATTTGCTTTAAATGAATAATCTAATTTTTCACTAAGTTCAAGTCCATTGAGTTTTCCTTCTTTAATAAATTTATTTACAACTGCTACTTGTTCTTCTGTCAATTTAGACAAATCAGCTTTCTATAAATAACAAAAATGTACATTATTTGATGTTCATATACACAAGAGAATTAAGAATTAAGAAAATAATACTAACTTTACATGCTTCATAAATAGGTTTGCTGTTGTATTTTGTTGTATGAGACATACATGCTTTATTGTGTATTGGATAATATATTCGAGCCGGCATTACTGAACTGTCAGCTAAATATAATGTTTTTAATACAGCCCATATTTGATCAAATTTATGACTAAGATTCTCAATCGGTTCTAATACATCTTTAAATAAGTCATATTTTCCATCTTCAACTAAAAAGACAATCGGTTCATAAGTTAAGTTATACGTTTTTTATCAATCTTTACTCAAAATCATATTACCTGAGTTGAGGTAATCTTCAATATCGCGTATGCCACATTCAAAATCAATAAATTGATTACTAATTGTGTTCTCACATTTTTTGATATCTAAGCCCGTAAAACTTGGATGGTCGGCATTTACTTGTAATAGACTTTCTGTTAAATCTTTACTGATTTCTGGCAATCTAAGACAGTGAAGTTTAATTATTTATCGTAATTATTCAATATTAACAATAATTGAGTAGAAAAAGTACAATAATAAAATTAAAATTAATGTTATAACTAGTAATATTTGATATTAAAATAATAATAGTTATTTTTGCCTCTTTTGTGTGAGAAATTTTTTAATTTTCTTACTACCTAGCCCTTAAATCATTTTCAGCAGTATTTTTTATTTTGTCTCCTTGATTTACTTACAATACAATATATCCATTTCGACTAGGTACTCTGGTTAGTACACAATTCTTGTGTTTTGGTATAATGTTTTGACATAATCTTGTGCAACGTGAAACAAACAACATTTTGTAATAATAATTGATTGAAAATGTGTTGAACTATAAATTAAACTATGTACAAATCTAATTAAATACGTTTTTATGTTTAATTATTCGATTATAATAGTACAAGTAGAGCTTTAGTTTACATTTAATAATTTACTATAACAAATTGAGTAAGTATAATAATATATTATATTGAATCAATAGAATAGATGTTCGCTCTCGCAGTCTCTTTTCAAAATGAACTTTCTTATCACCTAGAAATTATCAATACTATTTTAAGGTTAATACCTACAATTATTATTATTTTATTATCAGTCATCACCAATGTTATTAATAATAATAATTATTATTATTATTATCATGATTCATGACTACAGATAATAGATATGAGTATAAGACCAAAGAAATTATAGGTCTATGGGTATTATACGTAAAATAATATCCACTTTGATTATTTATTATTATTTCATATATTATATTATGTTAGTATTAGTATAACTTTTTTGTATTATTGTTAACTGTTATTATTAATTTCTCATTAGCCACTGTTGTTTGCAGTGTTTGCACCTAAACCTGAAGGTTCAAAATTAGTATTAAATTAATATTTAAAATTTAAAAAATATAAATATAAATTATGAAATAGGCACATAATATTTATTATTTTTATTATTTTCGTAAATTATATGTTTACAAAATATTAATAATGTTTGACAAAAAGATGTTAAATGCTTTTCCTCAAATATCCCACACAAATTTAATCAATATACTGAAAGATATGCCTGGACCTAAAGACTTAGTTGTTGAACATAGACTTTTTAAGCCCCTTGAAATGTTCATCGATATGAAAAGCTTAAGGTATGATCTTTTTGAAATTATATGTTAATATAGTAAAATGTGTTTTTGTTAAAGGCTTTATGGTGTGGAAAAGGTGTTTAAACTGCAAGAATCGATTAACCCAATTACCGATCGGCAATGCGTCTTTTTGGTGTCGTCTAATCTACCAGCGACAAAAATTATTTGTGATCTCATTAACTCGTGTCTAAGTAGGACAAGCTTAGCTGAAGATATTATTAAAATCATTCTTGTTCCCAGGTCATTGATTACTATTGAAAAACAATTTGAAGAAGAAGGTGTCTATGGGTACATTCAAATATTTGAATTCCAGTGGGACTTCATTCATTTAGGAGATTCATTACTTTCATTGGAGATGATAGATTTCTACAAAAACGTGTTTGTTGAAGAAAACCAATCATTGTTATTGCCTGTTGCCAAAGCTCTGTGGACAGCTTTTATGGTTTTGGGGTTTCCTAAGACTGTGTGTGTGAATGGAAAGTCATCTACCGCTATTTATAAATTATTGAATAGATGTTTTATAGAAAGAGGAAAGCCCAACATTAACAGTGGATCATGTTTTTGTATTTTAGATAGGGATTTTGATTATGCAAGCGTTTTGTTAACTCCTTGTACATATGCCAGTCTTTTAGATCAGGTGGTCGGTATACAAAACGGTATAGTTGAAATAAAAAAAATTGATGGAACTACATCTATAAAAAACTTGTGCAACCCCGATGAAACTTACGAATATGTCAAATACAAGCAATTTGGTGATGTGTTGAATTACTGGAAATCAAAATCCAAAGAATTGCAGGATAAACTGGAAAAGAGCAAAAAACTACAGTTAGATGAAATGAAACAGTATGTTACACAAGAGTTACAGAGTGTCTTAATGTCAAAGAAAAATCTTACGTTTCATATAGATGCGTCTGAAGTAGTATCAAAAGTAATAGGTGATAAATTTATTGATTATATTACCCTAGAAAAAAATATGTTAGAAAACAGAAGTCGCAAAGAGAACTTAAACTGCATAGAAGATTTGTTGGCCTTTGGAAAGGGTAGTGCCAACAATATACTGCAGCTCATATGTTTATTTTCACAATCCCAAGATGGATTTACTTCAATAGAATTAAATAATATTAAAACAAAATTTTTACACCAATATGGTTTCAAGTATTTTGAGACATTCCATGTTTTAGAGAAAATGAATTTAATAGTAAAACATGACAATAGCTCGGTTTTAAATAGTAATTTAAATAAAATTATATCCATTAATAAAACCAAGCAAATGATGCAAAACATGATGCAGAAATTAAGGCTTGTAGATGATAGCGAGCATTGCATGAGTGCAGCATTTGGAGGGTCATATGTCCCAGCCATTGGTAAACTAATAGAGATTATGTGTAAAGAAGAAATGCCCGAGGAAGAAATTGTTAAATTATTATCTATCTATTCATTTCAAGTTAACGACTTTAAGACTGGTATAAAAACTGTATATATTATGGTAATCGGAGGTATAACATACGCTGAACAAGCGGCACTTCATTTTTTAGAAAAATCAATGAGTATAAAAATTATTATTTTCAGCACAAATATAATAAATGGAAATATTTTAATAAACTCTTGTTTGTAGTATTAATATAAATTATCCATAGATGGCAAATAATTTTTGACTTTTTACAAAAAAATGTTTAGTTATTATGTTATTTTGTGTATTTCCTAATTTCCTACACAAATGAAAAGACTAAATAAAAATATTGAATAATGCATTATTACTGTAATAGAGAATTTTAAAATGTGCAATAGTTAGTATATGTGTAAGTTTATAGTGAAAATTAAATTATTGTTTATGTATTATTTTTATTTGATTGATTTTAAGATGTTTTAGTACTAATATAAGTTATTACTATGTTGATACTTAATTATTTTGCCGTTACCTATCCAATTACTTATCACATACTAATTATTATTTATTATGTCATTATTTAAATTAATATGCATAGTTCTGTATGATATTATGAGCTATTACTAATAGGACTGAATTTTCATGTTGAATTACTAACAATGTATTTATATTTAAAATTGAATAGGTACACCCTTGATAAACAGTAAAAAATACATTTAGGAAAAAATAAAATTATATCCTTGTTTTAAAAACTTAAAAACTTATAACTATTGTTGTATTTTAATTTTAAAGATCATTTTAAAATGAGCATTAGTCCCTTTAAAATTAAAATGTGATTCACTTGATGATATGACAATTATAAACTTTAATATTAAACATAGCGAAGTTAAATGGATCTTTCAGAATGTACATTTTGGTATATTACGAGTTTGTAAGATGGAGACAGCACATGCGGGTGTAGCATTCCCTTGACTATTAATTGTTTATAACACCATTAAACAATAACAAAAATTCACCATCTTTAAAAGTTAAACATTTAAATAGTAAAAAAAAAACATTTCACTGAATAACCAGATTTTAATTTTTTTGGTTTACATTTATCTATTTGTCTTACCTATTGCCTAGGAAGAATAATTGTAAAAAAAAAAAAAAAACGATACCTACTTGATTTATTTATTTTTTTAAATTTATACTATATGTCCCTACATAAGCTTCTAAAAGTTTTGGCATAGTGATATGGAAATGATTTTTGTATTGCCTACTACTTACCATTGTACTACAGATTAGTACAGGTACCTTTAGTGTTACCCAGGCCCGTTGTAGGGGCACAAGCAAGTCGTGCGTTGCTTAAGGGCGGCATACAATTTTAAAGAAATTGAAGGCGGCAATTTTTAAATAAATATCGGTAAAGAAGAGCGGCATTAAAATGATCTCTTCAGGACGGAAAGCATCTAACGACGTGCCTGGTGTTACCTGCCTACTTAGAACTTACCTAATTTAAAACTACATTTGTATTGGATAAAAACATAATGCGAGTAGTGCTGAGTCCCTAACTAATAAGTATAAATAGCTACACATATTATGTAGGTGTCTATACATAATAATGTGGCAATAGTGATATAGTGACATTGTACATTTGTAAAAAAAAATAAGTTGAGAAATGTGTTTTAAGAAAGAAGAAATTGTACTGAGTGATTCATTTATCATTGAACCCTGGTTATTTAAAAAAATATGAATGTTTTTGAAAAAAAGGTACAATGGTTTCTAGTCGTCAAAAATGTATTAAATTGTTTCACCTTTTTTAGAACATACAGTTTTAATTTCATATTTTTAGTAAGTTTTCTTCTTCTTTTAGATTTTTTGTTGTGTTTAGATATTCTGGTATTTTACTGTGTACAGTAATACAGTATAGTGTACACACAATATCGAATACATGTATAGGTAATACATATACTCCGTTCACCTAGAGCAGAGGTTCTCAAAGTGTGGGTCGCGACCCTCCGGAGGGACGCAAAAGCTTTATAGGGGGGAGGGCGCAAGACAATTTTAAAAACCAACATTGCATTGGTAGGACAGAAAAATTTAGATGTCAGCAAAGAATTGAGAGTAGCTTTATCA